GTAACTTTCCGAACCGTCGGTTGCGTTCAGCAGAAAAAGCAGCTATTGTAAGACCCTTTTATTACGATTGTTTTATATATTGTAATTTAGATCTATTTTTACTGATTGAAAAAAATTTAGTAAAGCTTAATACATTTCTCTTTAAACAGTACTGAGTAAACATTTACTCGTCGTAAATAAATATTTTCTTAACAAAAAAAATTTTATTAAAAATTAATAATTAACAATACTCAAATTAAATATTTTCGTATCGGATAAATGTATGTTCACATTTGACAAATATTTACTTAGAACTTTTTGATAAACTTTTGATAAACAAATATTTATTAAAATTTAGTTGGTTTTTTGTCAGTGTACATTTATAACATTGATTAGTTACGTAGATCCTGTTGGATCTAAGAGCAAGAACCAATCATGTTCATCAAGAATCTTACAACAACTTTTTTTTTTTGCCGAACACAGCCATTCTGAACTCCGCGAAGTGTAACGCCAAGTCAACGCAACTGTTTTGCGACGTAGAACTTCGTCACGGTCGCTCTCGGAAAAGTCACGTTGCGAAACTTGCGGAAAATTGTTTACGACACGTCACAGCGGCGGGAAACGGAAGATCGTTTCGTCACTGGCCTAATAGGAACGCGCAAATTATGGCGACATTAAGACTGCGCGTTCGCTATCTCTTCGTTGACAATCGCGGGAGAAAGCACGACTGAGGTGACGCAATTTGTGTCGCGTCAATCCGACTTCCCATCACGCGAGGAAAGGATTGTCTTTCACAGAAAGCTGATCCCGACTAACTACGCTTATATCAATGACATTTAACGCGGGATAGAGCGTTAAATATAGCGTTTTATATAGTGTGCTCTATTGGAAAAAGTTTTTAGTATGTTTATTAGCTCTGATCATTTATAACATTCTTTCAAAGAAGCAGCTTCATATATCACTTTGCTGATATATAAGTTTAAAGTTCGAAGTACTTTGTGAATTACATTAGGTAATTGAAGGGTATGCAATCTTCCCCTTCTCTTTTCTATTGATCTTTTATTTTACGTATGATTAATGATCACCTAAGCTGCCGGAATTAACATTATTATGATTTAATCAACCTTTACTGTTATTACTATAATTATATTTTATATCTTTAGTCTATATCATGCTGAATGATTAATGATACTTTAATATTTCATTAACGTAATTTATCGTTACAATCGCGTTTTATTATTAAAATGTCAATAATATCCCATGCGTAACGTTAATCAATCCAATAAAAAATGGAGCGATTATACTTTTCAGCTAAACTCGTTTAATTTTCTATCAACGAAACGTTTCCGGGCTGCCGACGCGTGGTGAATTTATAATTATTAAGTAAGTGGTACATATTATATATACATATATATATCTCTGAAGAATTACTATCGACTCACGTCCCAATAAACCTTTCTTTCTCCATATCATGAATTAAAAGGATGTGTCAAGGTTCCGAAATAACAGGTTAACGGTCAGCGTCCGAAATATTCGTCTTTGTCAAACCTCTATCTTTTGTCACGTTCCTTTTTTAGGCCTGATCTTCTACCTGCATGTTTCCGTTCGTGCAATTCATGAAATTTTCATCACTGTCAAACCTCTATCTTTTGTGTTACGCTCTTTTCATTAAGGTCTAAGCTTCTACCTACATGTTTCCGTTTTTTTGTGCAATTTATATTTCATCAAATACAACATTACCATGTCTCCAGATGTGCACAATAATTCTGGTTTTGAATATTGAAAATATTTTAAAGAAAAGATTTTCTTTACATACACTATTGTCAGCAGAGTTACGATAACAAGAAATCCGTACGGTGAATCATTTATCGTCTGTATGTTTTATTCACGTGGCTTTTGTTCGCGCTACGAGCTTTTCTTTCACAAGGCAAGATGCAAGCGCACGTGATAATCGATGTGACACGAGCTCTCGCTAGTAACGAGTGATAAGCAATCTTCGTCAATCAATGCCCTTGGTACTCGACGGTGTGTCGCTTATATCTAACAAAGTCAGCTAGTGAACCTGGCATATTAGTGTCCATACGAGGACATCGATCGTCGTTCGAGTGACTTCATACACGAGGCACGCACGCGGAAGATCAGGCTGCAAGAAACCGCTCGCTACGTTTGTCGAGTACATAATGGTGAATCACAATGATAAAAACGCTGTCGAAGAAATTTTCTGAACGTATTATTGATATTTGCCATTATTAGGAATGTTTCACATCGAATTAAGAATCAACTGAGTTAATTTAACATGGAAAAAGATAAATTAAAAATGCAGATTTACAATATTCTCATATAAATCTTGATCTCACAAAAATTGCTTATTAACTTAACAGTGTAACTCGGATTTACGACGATTGAAATGAATAGCTTCGCGTCTTACTGCAAGAAAAGATGAGAACACAGATTTTCCACTTTGCGCTACTAATGTTGACGAAGTGCAAATTAACATTTAAAATCAAGAAATGTAACCATCCATTATAAATATATAACAGTCAAGATAAACTATCAAATCGCAATTAGATTTATTATCTAACGATAAATGGTTAATAACTACAATTTTTCAGTAATTTTACACGGTTATTAAATAAAAGTAGATAACACGTTAAACAAGTTTCTAATGACAGCTGATTTAATTAGTAGAGAAGCATCGTATATTTCTCGTCGCAGTCGATTAACCTTAATCTTTGAATTACTCCGTGGAATGTCGCGCAGATAAAATCTGATGGTTCGTTTATTCGCGAACACGGACGTCGCCGTCGAGACGACGTGCGTCCTCGACGCATAGCGTTTGCGTAGCAATAGAAAAAAAAAATGACCCAATATATCCAAGAGGGAAGCCCGCACTAACGAAACAGCCGTTAGACGTAATGTATACATATTATTTTCCAACGTTTTTACGATTCAATTGCGCCATTTCTTGTTGCTTCGTGAACATTCTTTTTGACGTTTATCTATAACAAAAAATATTAATACTCATTTAAGATACACTAAAGAAATTACGATGTAAAAACATTATAGAGATTAGAAACATTCGCTGAACTATCAAGATAATTGTACGTACAGATACTGTCGTGCTAGAATGTCAAAACTTTTTGCAGCATTGCTGTCGTGAACTTCCTTGAACTTCCTACACAATTATTTTGATCCAACAAAATTATTTTTAAATCTGTATTTATATACCTAAATTTTTAAATACTTCGGTAAAATTATTCTTTGTATATATAAATAGTACAGCAGCTAACTTAATTTTCAAAACTTTTCATTTATATATATACATGAATGTTATTATATTTCCTGTTAACTAATTTTTATTTTCAACTACTGATTTTATTCTAAGGATAGTTGATGTCTTAAAAATCTTAAAAACTTTGCCTTTAGCGATCAATATAAACGAGTATCTCGTACATTCGATTAACCGCAAAAAATACCCGCATAAGATATTCTCAGAAATATTCTCAGAAACGATTTGTTGTATGCTCGGCAGTTTCGGTGCGTATTCGTGAGATGCATTTTCCAACGATAAAAACGGTCTTGCCGCAAATTACTGTAACCGCAACAAGAGCCGCTTCTTCCATATAACCGCGATATTCTTACAATATGATTCCGCATTCGCCCAGGTCATACCACCCACGTTTCTTTGCGATTTATGCTAGGTTTTCGCGCACAAATCTTCAACCGCGTAAATGGACCTGTGGATGATGCGCATATTTAAAGAAGGGAAAGAATTGCTCATGCAAAGTAACGACAATTTTTTAATAACGAATCGCGAGAAGCTTAAAAGACGGTACGACTGTGAAGCGATTCACAATGGTAGCCATGTATATAGTAGTTAACACTATTAAGTGAAAATTGACCGAGAAAAGTTTAACAGAGATAAGTGAATGTGGACGTACTCAAGGCGAGTCTTGGTGCCTAATAATACTTGTGTGAATTTTTACAATTTCCAAAGATGCTCCATTAACATCAGTAACATTAAATGCCTTGTCAATTTAATTTGTATCAATTTAATTACTCCACCTTTAGTCTAGAACTGTTTAAAACCGACAAGTAATCAGCACGCGGTTTGCTTGAACTGGAAATTGTCAAAATTCACATAAAAATATTATTAAGCACCAAGACTCATTTTGATCGAATATGGCCCTCTTCACCCATACGTTTATAATAGTTCAGTTCACTCATGTGTGTATAATAGTTAAGTTTGATTAAAGAGGGAATTACATAATTTAGATATGAGTACAAAGGAGTTTTAATGGGAGTAAAATCGCTTTTTGAATATAGATTACTAAGACTATTCTGTTACCTTGGCTAAATTTATAATCCCCCCTTATAGACGGTTTCCAAGCCGTCTAATTGCTCGGATTATGACCCAGAAAATGATTGTGGCCAAAGCTATTTTAATGATCGACTGGCTTTTCTGACGCCGAAAGGCGTTGGTTGCCTTTTACGTAATTTCGTGCAACCGGAAGGAATAAAAGGAAGGCGTAAAAATTACTTCTGATATTATTTTAGCATCCATTATTTTTCGAAATTAATTTTTAGAAGATACCTATTATTGCGTAGCGTCATTGTTGGTGAAACTTCTAATTTTATTTCCTGTCATAAAACCTATTATCATCATTAAGCGCATCGATGTGGTTTTTAATCAGAGATGCTCAATGGATGCTGCCAATGTCACATCTCAGATCTTCACGCTTTTCTCGGAGATGTAGAATTTCTCGCGTGATGCAAGCAAGAGCTTCCAAGCTCGCGCGTATGCACGAAAATCGAATCGCTCGGTGAGCTTTTCCGCGTGCGTGGATTCCATGGGAAAACTCTCCTGTTCCTTCTGAAAATGCGGAAAACGCATCTGTCTGCCCGCGCTGCATCTCTTCTGGCGCCTTTGTCGGTCGTTTCCGACGTTCGTCGGTGTCGCTCGTGAAGAGCGGTGAGACGGACCCGCTCAGTCGAACGCTGACCGTCGTGCACGTGAGACCGTTCGTGGGAGAACTTGGTGTCAGCCACGCAGCCACGAGTCCTCTGCCGGCTGTCGAGATCCAGCTGTTAAAGACAACGACAGGTCAGATCGACGGCTCGCCGCGTGGGAGACTGGCATCCCATCGAGACTCCACTGTTTTCTCTGCCGTAACGACGAGAATAGAGATTGTGCCGCTCGGTGTCACAAGTGACTTGACTTGTCGTCAGAACTGTCAATTCCCACTCGAAGGAACGTGAGAACCGCTGGAACGACCGCGTTGTTGGGACAGCGACGGAGAACGTGGGCGGGATTAATTAATATCCCGCTTGCTGCGTAAATAGTGGAAGGCCGTGCCGGCGACAGTGTATCGATACGAGGTTCACCTGCGACGAAGTAGATAGCGCACAGCTGAGTTGTGTGAAGCGCGGCAAAGTTTGAGTCGCTTGATGAATTGCTTGTGTTTGGGTCTCTACCGGGTAAACTTCTCTCCCTCGGGAGAGACTTCATCCCCTCAAGTTATTTTTCGCATAGCACTAAGACTCAGTTGAGTCTGAAATCCACGAAATAGACGGAAGTAGGAAGAGAGTTACTTGTATCTGTCACGAACTGTCAAATTGTGGAGCTCAGCCGCGTGTCTCTCGGAGCGTCTTGATTTCTCTCTGGCATCGAAGTTTCGCGCGCGGAACCGGCCTTACGAAACTCGCTTCGAGCACGAGGGGTTCGTCGTCTCCTAAACGAATTTAACGAGTGAACCCGTTCAGACAATTCGTGCCACTTTACGCGGCGAAAGATCGACCAGTGTTCCCTTTCTCCCTCTTTCTTCCTCTCCGTCGTCTCGACGTCCGACGAAAGTTGACTGACCGACGTGACTCACTGGATCACGAGTCATTCTTCAGCTGCGGTGATCGTCGCGTCGTGTGATCGCGGGTGCATTTCTCACAGTCTTATCGCGTCATCGCCGAGAAAAACACACGTCGCATGATATCGCATTATTAATACATCGCCTGGGATACATCGAATTACGAGGAGAAACTTGCCCTTGACTGTGAAACTCCTCCGTTGATCGCTGTGTCGTGGTGTCATCGAAATTAATCAGAGCCGGAGAAGGAAGAGAGCCGACGAGAAGAAAGTGCAGCTTCCCAGGACGTACGTTGCGATCATCGTACTTCCTTCGAGTCATTCGTACTCTTCTAATTGAACTTTAAAGAGAAGATCTCTCACGATGACAGAAGACAGTGATTCTTAGAAGCTGCTACGATCAACATTCCTAGCAGCTGATTCGTATCTCAGCTCAAGCCATACTCTCTCGAGGACTTACTTCCGATTCCCCTGTCTCCTCGAGACAAGGTCGAGCGGTACGCGCTAGCTTTGTACTTCCGACATCAGGATTAAGTACCCCAAGACGGGCGCTGTTGGGAAAGGCGGTCACGTGCCACCTGTTACAAGCCGATCCGCAGTGCGGAAGGCTCGCGGATCGCCGTTGTTGCGGATCAGCGTGTCGGGCGTCAGGCGGTCGCAGGAGAATGCGGTTTCGCGTGGCGACGCGATCCTGGCTGATTCTGGCGATAGGATGTTGACGGCCCGTTCGGGGCCTCTCGGGCTCGGCGTGCCGCGAACCCTGGGCCCCGCGGAGGGAAGCGATCACCTCTTCCTGCTACCGGAACGCGCTCTCGGCATGGACAGCACCCACCTGCGGCAGGACCTGGCTGGCCTGGACTTTAATCTCCACCTGAACCTACTGCACACCGCGCCCCGCGGCAACGTCTGGCTATGTGAGTTATCGAACGGTATTGACTCGTGCGAGACAAGAGAGGAAGATGTCGTAATTCTTGAAATACCTCCGACGTCTCTATTTTCCCCTCTGGTTTGATTTCAAGCTCCGAACTCATTCTCTCCGATTCTCCCGGTCTTGAGGAAGAAAGCAGTTCTGTCTATGTGTTATCGCGACTCCTACACATTTTGTGATTATGTGTAACGAGTTGATAAATAGAACGAAAAGAAGAGTGAGGATTTAGATAATTCAATAGGAATGAAATCACAAAGGAATTATTTCCAATTTTTAATAAAACCATTAAAGAACTTAACGTTTACAGGACGGAAAAATTATTATAATGATGTTGAAACAATGCCATATTTCAAGGCGAGGAATATAATAATGTATTGTAATAAATCTTACTCAAGAAAAGCTAAAGATTTAGAACCTTGCTCTCTAAAGGTTAGTTCTCTAAGTTAATGGAAATTCAATGAAAACTCAAATGATTGAAGGATAATATCTAAAATTTTTTTACGAACAAATACATAGATAAAATTAAATTTTTCAATTTATTTTAAATTGATTTAATATCTCGAAGAAATCTTGTTATTATTATCATAGTATTTAATCGTAATATTATTTTATATTATAACACGCGTCACCGATAATCAACAGAGTAATCTCTATGTTTAAGTCTTTATATCCGTCTATTACTTCAATTGGCGGAGATTAATCGGGCTCTTGATAATCCTGGCTAGATAACAGATAATACAAGAGGATTTGGACATTTATTTTTTAAATTTTCAATATTTATTTTTTTATTTATTTTTTAAAATCATAGCACATGTTCAGATAAAGATCTTCTAAATAGCTCATCTACGTGAATATGGAAGTCTCACTAACTTATCTGTTTAAATAGGGAAATTGCCTTAAACGAATAGCGCATCGCGTTTATACGATTCTATGTAAAACAATTATACTATTTTTTAAAGGAAGTCCGGACATACAGATTTTCCAATTATTTCAAAATAAACCGATAGTGTCCGAGCTATTCGAATCCCAAAGGTTGATAATATTAATTTTATCTGCGTCGTGTGTGTATATAAAATTTACCTTTAACAAAGAATTCGGGAAAAATTCGATGATTCGATTAATAAATAAAGATAAAGAAATACAATTGTACTAAAATACACTTTCTGTAAGCACTTTTGTGTCCTATATTTATAGTTTTTATCATAAAAACATTGTTTGCCAAGGCTTTACTTTATGACGCAAAGATGTTCTTATATTATATTTCTTGGTACTTTACTATCTTGAGGTGTGTATCTCTGCGATATTAGATGTTGAAACGAGACACGTATAAACCGGGTCGCTCTTGTCTTTCGCGATCTCTCACATGCAATATCAATAATAGGTCCATGTCAATAATAGACATGGCTCGCGACATCCCGGCGATAACTGTTCCGTAAAAAGCCGTGAATTGTTCTCGCGAGATCATCGGGTGCGATTTTCATCAGAATTTCGCGGGATGAAATTGCGAGCGGAGGAAACCGAGGAAGAATTATTGACGGTCGGATGTTGTTCATAACTCTTGCGCGCGAAATTCGCGAAGAGAAACACGGAAGGAGATAAATTACAATAGCGTATAAAAATATGTTTCGAGGCATGAAAGAAAGAGGCTAGCCTCGCGAAACTCAGAGTCTAGAAGGAGGTAAGAGATACGGAGAGAGAGTTAACAGGTGCGCCGCGAAATTATCGCCAATTAAGTGCTTTTTTGCCACCGGTAAAAGCGTAAAAGCCGCGCTCGCGAATGAATACCGTGCAATTATGATGCTTCGTCATCGTGCCTTTTTTTAATCGCGATCATCCCGGCATGAGGAGAGCGACTGTTAATTTGGCGGATGGAATTTAATTAACGCGAATCGGTGCGTTCGTTTTCGTTGCGCCACGCGCGCGCCAGGTCCCCGCGAACGATTCCTCTTCGCAGACGTGTATTTATTAAACACGAATGCACCCATTACTTCTTACGGTGCTTGACAATTATTACAACGTATTCCTTTCCTCGTAACTGGCGATAATTGGAGCAGGATAAAATGAATAATTAACGTGTGAACACACGCTGAGTGTAAGTTATTACATGTCTGGTCGAGAGGATGTTCTCCTCGGTCGCAAAATATCGTTTTGGCATATTAACGGTAAAATTATACGTTCTGATTGCGGATTGAAAGATTTGAGGCTGTTAACCCATATGATGGCCTTATATTATCGCACAAGCAGGCTGTTATGAAAATTTTAATTTATTCGGAGGAGTTTCGCGTTTGTCGATTAGTGGAGGGGTTTACTGAATGACAAAAAGCTTATCCTTTATTTGCTAAGTAGCGAGGGAATTGTCTCTAACTTGTCGGATGACAAACGAGCGTCTTGTCGAGTTGTAAATGATGATAAATGTGAAATCGTAAACGAAATAACACTCGCTTTGAAGTAACAGTAGCCTCTCGGTAATGGATACTTTCCCTGAAAAGTGATTTTTTCCTCGCTTTTTGTGATCGTAATAAAAATGTAAATCATTGCGGTTAATATCGAAACGTCGTTCTCTTAACTTCCTGTGAAACGTGTAGTAAAAGCCTGTTTTTGTTGATGTATAAACTTCCCGCAAATAAATGTTTATCCTTACAAATGTAATAAGACATAAAAATTTTTTATATATTTACTTCTCGATTAGAAAAACGCTTTGATGTGGTAATTTTGCGAAAGTTAAGAAATGTCAATGAAACTTTCTTTTCCGTGGAAACGATTGCTCTTAACGTTTATTAATTTGTAGCGCAGTGAATGAAGGTACACTAGCGCATGAAGATTTTATTAAGAAATCGCGGCTGTACTTGTCCCATATCACATTAACGGTTTATTCCTTATTCGATATATAATGCTGAGCGTGAAATGACGCGTGACGCGTGTAATGCTCAGAAATTTGTGCAAAATATCGGCCTGATGATCGCGTGGAAGTCGCCGTATCCTCGATTGAACATTAATAAGGGGGTGTATTAACTCAGATGAGGGGGAGAGGGACTTTATCGTATCCTCTCTCGTGCCGCGCGCGATTACGGAAAGTCCAGCAAGAAGATCGTTACGATTTATATTTATCAGTGGTCGACGTACCATATTATTACGGTTTTTGTAATGGCGGTCAATTCACGACGTTAATGTCCATATTCGCGAAGCTCGTAATAGGAAGATGTTGCACGAGACATGTTCGGTAGCATATTTCCCACTTGTTTTTTCTTTTTTTCTTTTTTTTTAATTACGACAACTGTCCCCACGCACGCTCGACAGCATCACAAAGATTTATGAAATTATCCGGGATGTGTTTTCATTTGGCGCACCGCGGGTGCCAGCGGATTACTCTGATGGTAGACCGTGTCCGATTTGATATACAGAAGTACTGCGCTACATTTCCTACTTACATCATTAATATATACAGATTGTACAGGAGAGAGATGCGTCGACAGACAACTCGCATGGAGAAAAATAGAAAATATGTTAATAATCATAATAATACTAATAATAACTACACAAAATTTACTAGAATTCTAGTAAATTTTGTGGAATTGGCAGATCCATATAGGAAGGGTTATCCACTTATGTAAAGTTTATTTTACTTACCTACAGGTAAATGAGCGATCGTTGTATAGAGGCATGTTATAAAATATTTTTTACACTTCATAAAGTAAACCTATAAATTACCATACATCTCAATCGAATTTACTTTATCAACAAGTATTTTTGAGAGCCTTAGCGAAATGACAAAATGTACCTACTTTACTGCACGGTAAAAAATACAAGTGTGTAAAGAGAGTTTTGAGAGTTGTTCTTGCTTACAGTCTTGAGAATAATATGATTTGCTTTACTGTAAGATGTAATTATTGGAATGGATTTATTATAATTGTAATGTACTTTTTATCTCTATTTTTATTTTCAGACAAATAAAGTTTGTTATAAATTCGACAAAAATAGTCAGAATATTTTTTATCAGTCATAGTAAGATAAACTCTACTTAATTTTTTCCGTGCGAATAAAATCGAAAGGAGAGTATTTTGGAGTATTTGAGAAGTCGAATATTTAAAAATACGAGGATCTTGTTTTTTTGATTTGGAAATTCAAAAATATGATAAATGGATGATTTCAAAAAAAATTGTCGTTTCAAAATCTATAATTAACCAAGATACGCAAGAATTAACATGTAGATCTTCGTGATATTCTAATTTAATAGCTTATGATTTCGTAATATGACGTAAGAATACAGTTCTCGTATTTCATATCAATTTGCGTTATTAAAATTTACGATCCTCACGTGTTCAGAAGGCGGTTGCTCGAGCAAATTCACGCAGGTGTCACGGAATTATTTCGCGTGTCTAAGGGGAATACATAATATTAGCTTTACACTGGCAAGCGTTACGCTTTCAAATATCAATTTGCTAAACGGAGGCAGGACGAACGCACCACGTGGAACTGTAAACTCGATCTCGAGCAAGTTAAAACAGGTTCGTAAAAACGAACTTACGAAATTGTGAGTTGCCATATTTGCCCTGCGATTTTTTATTGGTGCAGTTCGAAATGCCTTACAATTAGTCCTGTTGCTACTTTTCTATGAGACAAACGATTAATCTGTGTGTAGTTAGAAAACTGATAAAATTAATTCATTTCACGTATAACGATAAATTAATGAAATACCTTATAAATGTGACAAGATGAATATCTTTCAACTATCACAATGTTAATACAGCATAACATGTACTCGTCAATTCTGCGAAGTTGACAGTAATTTAATAGTTATTGTAATATATAACGACGCATATGACGAGAATAACGATGAAACGATGGTGACAGCTGTTTACCTTAATATAGTGGTTCGATCGGAGCTAATCGAAGAGATTGGTTTTCGCGCTGTATGCACTGTCACATTATAATGATTTACAACTGCAACGTGTCACAGCACATCTATGCTATTCGCTTGTACGAAGC